TAGGTTCAAAAGGATGATTTACTGCCTGACTTACTAGTACTCCCTCCAGGGACTGATTTACATGATCATCCTCTTGTCAAGAATGGAAGCATATTTCTGCAAGTAGGAATCAACCCTCTTTTGTTCCTTTATCTATATATAAATCTTATGGGATTAATAACTGATTTTAAGAAATTTACTGACGGCAATTCTTGGTACTCGTTATTCATTAACTTAGGGTAAGGCGAGTTCAATGGTGGCACCGGCTCTTAGCCCCGAACCAGGGTGGGAGGTGAGTTATTGCTGCATTATGACATATAGATCTGATTTAAGATAATCCATTTCATAGGTATTCTCCACTTAAGCTCCTCGTAAACCTTGTAAACATCATCTTTTACCGTCTAGTTTCTAATTTCTTTATTATTCTGGGTCTAGAGCTTTACATTGTGACCTGCCACATGTTCCTTTTGTTTGTATTTTCCAAAAAAACAGTACAAATTAAAGAAGTTTGATGTATCTTGCTTTTGGCAGTATGTGTTTTATGGATACATTGTGGAGTACTTTCTTTTTATGTCTTTCTAGTTTTTTCATAGTTGTTTGGTAATCAAATAAGTGGTATGGCAACTAAGTCGAAAGAAAACCAGGACTAGTATGGTGGTCAGACCACTTACCCTTGGAGAGTTGAGACCAAATTTTAATGGTTAAACACATATTTATTCGTTGTTAAATATATTGTTCTATTTTGAGACTACTTATCATGCTATTGGGAATTTAGGATAATATATTTATATTGCTTTTAAGCAATTGTAACAATGAACCATTGACACATGGAAACCAATAATAATCTTGAGATAAATGGAAGTGATTGTATGTTACTTATTGCATTAGTCTCGTGTTGGTGCTATGACACACCTTCAATTTAGAGTGTTGTGCTACATAGTTGTAAGGCATCTCGATTATGATATACTTCTTTGTGTTCTTATTAGTTTTCCACTTTAAATGTTTTTCTAGGTTCTTGATGCATGCGCTGCACCAGGCAACAAAACTGTCCACCTAGCTGCCCTTATGAAGAGAAAGGGTAGGATTATAGCATGTGAGCTGAAAAAGGAAAGGATTAAGCGCTTGAATGACACTATAAAGCTATCCGGGGCTTCCAGTATCCAATATTGTGTTTATACTATTGAGATGCTTTTCAACCAATAGTTAATTCGATGTTACAATAATCACAAATTAGTGTTGTATTGAATCATACATGCTAAGTAGTTGTTTAGATCTTCTTTCTGCATACTGTACCGTGATGCCTCTGAAGCAGAGAAGCACACTGTAAATTTTCATTCCATTTCTTTGGTTAATTTTCAGTTTGTGTTGCCATGCTTCTAACTTAACACTAAGTTCAGATATACAGGTTCTCAATGAGGATTTCTTGAATATAAATCCCAAGGACCCTTCATATTCTAAGGTAAAGTATATTTCCTGTTCCCGATCTCCAACTGTTATTTGTTCGTTTTGTGTGTAACTGTTATCAGATTTATCATTGCAGTTAAAAGCCATTCTTTTAGATCCTTCCTGCTCTGGTTCTGGTACCGCCGCATCTAGACTAGACCATCTGCTTCCATCTAAAGCAGCAGGTGATATTGACACGGAAAGGTTGAACAAGCTTGCAGCTTTTCAGAGAAAAGCTCTTCAGCATGCCTTCCTTTGTGAGTTTGTTTGTTTCTATTGCCAATTCAATTATTTTGTTCCCATACAGTACTTAAAAAGATTGTTTCTTTGGCAGTTCCAGCTTTGGAGAGAATTGTATACAGTACATGTTCAATAAACCAAATTGAGAACGAAGATGTTGTGAAATCTATTCTGCCTATAGCCGAGTCATATGGATTCCAACTGGCAAAGCCCTTCCCCGAGTGGCAGTGCCGTGGTCTTCCAGTGTTTGAAGGCGGTAAGTATTATTGTTCAGTTACTGGTCTATTTCTGTTGTATAATTTTTTGGTGGGTTTCAATATTGCTTGATTTATCTTGCAGCTGAAAACCTGATTCGAACAGATCCTGCCAAGCATGGAGAGGGTTTCTTCATTGCCTTGTTTGCCAAAAAAGATGCTAACCTTTCAGCAAGGTCAAATAAAAATGATAATAGGACTCTACGCAATTCTACCAGAGCTAGAAACGTGCGAAGGAAGATACCAATGTACATTCACACTAACATGTTCAAAATGTGGTTACATGGTCAATTGAACCAGCGTCAAAATCGGAGGGATAGAAGATATTTTTCCTGTCAGTGTAAAAGCCATTCATAAAATAGACTAAAGCAGTTTTGTTTGCAGCATTTTTTCAATTTCCTCTCCCACATTTACAAATGTAAGGGATAAAATTATAATCTTTGTTTTTAATTTGGAGCAGAAGCTAAGGTATTTCAATTTCATATGTTTTATTAAAGCATCATTAGTACATGTTACATTGCATGATCATCATATGAAGAGCCTGTGGAAAGACGCGAAACCATTGCCACACAAACAAACTATAAAAAGACAGACATAGCCTTTAATCTGCAAACGTTGGTTGAGTTGCCACACAAACAAACTACAAAAAGACAGACATAGCCTTTAATCTGCAAACGTTGGTTGAGTTGCAATTTGTAAAACATGAAATTAAACACCGATCAAGCAGTCTTAACCTCGATAGTCTTAGGTTTCTTAGGTTCAGGTGGAGGCAATTTATTAACTGTAACAGTAAGAACACCATCTTGACAAATAGCAGAGATACCTTCTACATTTGCATTCTCAGCTAACACAAATTTCCTCAAACTTACCAACCCTTATTTCCATCTTCAAATATTTAACACCTTTTTTCTCTTCTTTCCTCTTCCTCTCACCACTTATTAAAAGCACATTCTCATCTTCCACCTGAACCTTGATGTCACCGGATTTCAACTTAGGCATGTGCACCACAAACACATATGCATTTGGATACTCTACATCTGCGGCAGTTGCAGCCATTGCCTTTGCGTCGCATACGTATGTTCTTTTGGAGCGTTTAAGTTCTTATCGGTTGTGTCGTCTGTGGGATCCATTATGTGATGCTGAGTGTTGAAGAGTGGAGAATCAAAACCCATAAGCCTGAAATCCATTGCTTTATTTGTGTGGGTGATTTTTTGTATTTGTCGAACGTTTTGCTTTTTAATTGTTCTTGTGTGAATGAAGAATGTTTGTTCTTTATTAGGTTTAAAAGATGCACTGCCTACTGGTCTCCTCTACCTGCTCATACTTTTGTGCGGGGCGAGATAAGATTTTAGGTTTTCACCCTCAATTATGCCCGTCTTGCCCGCCTCATTTTTTCGCGGGCATTTGTAGAGCTGACCTAAGCGGGGCGGACATATCCGTTTTTCATCCGTAGAGTAGATCCCTCCAACTCTCACTGCAACAGGATTGAGCATTCTCGTGGACCACGTACTCTCCAACGTAAAAGAGTTAGAGTTGATCGGTTCAAGGATCTTTATGATAAGCCATATGTTGTCGTTATTAATGATGTTGAAGCAAAGATGACTCTTCAGGATGTTATAGAGATTCTGATTCATACTGATACAAAGTGACCAATTCAAATTGATACAGAGATGTCTGTTCAGCCTCATAAGAAAATACTGATTCAAACTGATTCGAAGGTGTCAATTCAGACTGATATAAAGGTCCATGTTCAGGCTGATACATGCAAAGGGTTCTCTAGAGGACCTTATGATCCCTTGCTTATTGGGTACTTCGATCACGTGACATTCAAATAATGACAATGAGAGGTCTAAATATTTTAATTTAAGTTATTTTTATTTATCAGTGGTCAATTTAAAATAACTGATGGTTTATCTTTTATTCATTGTAGAACTGCACTTCATTAAAGGTCCTCACTCATTGGTTGAAATTAAAGAAATTATCAGTAATGTAAATGCTTGATGAGGTTAAGGCAATTGTTGCTGATACTGTTCTACTACCATGTATTGTTCGCTCACCATGATGGATGCTCTTTTGTTATCTTCTTTTGTTAAACGATGGCATAAGAAAACATCTTCATTTCATCTTTTCTTTCGTGAGATGACGTTTATCCTAGATGATGTCTTCAGCCTCTTTCATCTCCAAGAAAATAAAGTAGTGTGCCTTTATTGTCTTGTGAAATTGAGTACATAGCTACATTATATGCAGTATATGTCAAACAACATGGATTGAAATTCTACTCAAAGATCGTGAAACCTAAAACAACGAAGTTGTTTGTCGATAACATGACCCAATAAATCATCCTATGTGTCATGGTCGAAATAAACACATCGAGATGAGGTATTATTTTCTTAGAGTTTAAATAAACGAAGAAAAATTTAAACTTGACATATGATAATTAGCTGATATATTTATTAAACTCCTAAAAAAAAAAAGTCAAATTTAATGAGTTAAAAAAAAATTAAGATGAAAAATATTAACATAGTTGTATTCGATAAACATATCTGTTAAAGTATATAAACGATTGAACCAAATATTAGAAATTGCAATTTCGATTTAATAAAATTTCTCTTTTCACAATATATTTCTCTCTCTTCTTCATTCTTTTAGACCCTAATTATTTCAAACAATTAGATTCTATCTGTGGGAAAAACTTTAAACGATGATTCATTTTAAAATGGACGGGAGTTTAAAGTAACCATCTTCCATAAGTAGTAAATCATTCACAAATTAATTATAACTCTAGCTCTTAATTGGCCTAGGGTTGAATTAATAATAACTAAGAGGCACATAGCCAAAAATGATAAATTTGGAAAAAAGTATCAAAAGATAACACAATTTACAGCAGAAAATAAGGTATTTAAAACTCATTTTCATATATTTTATTAAAGCATTAGCACACATACATCGCATGATCATCATAGAAGAGCCTGCGAAAAGACGCAAAACCATTGCCATACAAACAAACAGAGAAAAACACAGACATAGCCCTAAATCTGCAAACGATGGTTGGTTGCAATTTGCAAACATGAAATCCAACACCGCTCAAGCAATCTTAACTTCAATAGTCTTGGGCTTCTTAGGTTCAGGTGGAGGCAATTTATTAACAGTAACAGTAAGAACACCATCTTGACAAATAGCAGACACGCCTTCAACATTAGCATTTTCAGGTAACACAAATTTCCTCATAAGCTTACCAACCCTTCTTTCCATCTTCAAATATTTAACACCTTCTTTCTCTTCTTCCCTCTTTCTCTCACCACTTATCAATAGCACATTCTCATCTTCCACCTGAACCTTTATGTCACCAGATTTCAATCCAGGCATGTCAACCACAAACACGTATGAATTTGGATACTCTTTCACGTCCGCCGGAGTTGCAGCCATTGCCTTTGCGTCGCGTACGTATGTTCGTGTTGGAGCGTTTAAGTTCTTGTCGGTAGTGTCGTCTGTAAGATTCATAATGTGGTGGAGAGTGTTCAACAGTGGAGAATCTAAACCCATTAGTCTGAAATCCATTGCTTTTTTGGAGGGAGATTTTGCGTTTGCTGAATGTTGAACGTTTTGTTTTAAGATTGTTTTGGATGGATTGAGAATGGAGAATTTTTGGCATTTAAAAGGGTGGTAGGAAGATTATGGAAGGTTCAAGAGAAAACAGAGCGCATTGGAAATTCTAGAGTTTCGATAGAAAAGAAAAAACTCAATATTTCTAGGAAGTTCCAGAACAAGAGAGAAATAGAGTATGTATGACCAAGTTGTGGATTATTGGGCCTCCGAGGCCCAGCTAAATAAGAGAGTCAAAAAGTGGGAGATTTGTCCTGCCAATCCCCAATCAAACTTGGCAACCCCTTCACCCTCCTGTACCTTTGCTTTTATCATTATGTTTCTATTTTTTTTATTATTTACTATTATTATTATTTTTTTACAAAAATTCTATGTTCTTATCGGATTTTATTATATAATATTGCATTTTTTTTAGTTTTAGAGGATTTTACATGAATTTTTATCGAACTAAAGATTATTTGTGTTTATTGAGTTTTATGAAAAATTACTGGATCCATTTCGAAAAAATTAATAAAAATCTATTGATTTCTAAAAGATGTAGGAAGAAATACCAGAATTTTAAAGAAATTTGGTATAGGGTAATTGTTTTTAAAAATAATGATAACATATACTAGGTACTAGATATATGGAAAAATTTGATATATACTAGATTTTTCAATTTTTTAAATAATGTGGCGGGGGTGGAGTTTTTTCTTAATATATTTATGTTTTAAATTAAATTTGTTACATTTTTAGCAAAACAGTACGATAATATTAACATATTGTAACAAAAGTATTTGTATATTCACAACTAACTTGATAAAATATATATATGTACAATTAAAAGTATCGAAAATATAAAACAAATTTTGTTGACTTCAAAGTTTCTCTTAAGTGTCTTATACGTCTTGCATATGTTGTTTCCAATACTCTTGCACCTTCACTAAAGTTCTGTCTCATGCGGACAACGAAGGGAGACAATGGACAATCGTGTTTAAAATTTACCTGAACCCTATGACTGTTGTTAACAAAACCAACTGCAATAAACTTATGCCTACTCACATACATAGAATGAGATATCACTAGTGGGAAGAAAGTGATGTTAAGGTTCTTGGATAACGAGACAAATATCACACTCTATCTAGAAGCAATAGTGTAACTCATATTCAGAATCTTTGTCAAAATGCTTGCAAAGAACTCCTAACTTTAGAGATCGTGTCATAGTACACCTTGGAATTTAAATGACGTTTTTTTATAAACTTCACCATATAACTGCGTCTAAATCAAAGATCATGACATTTCACCACATATACAATTTCCAAAGCTTGAATAGCACGGAAACCACAGTTTCTATTAGGCTCCACATCAACAATGTCTTCAATGCAATCATGTAAGAAAACAAGAAACTAAGACAAGTAAAGATGTCTTGAAGACTTGCTAGACAATTGACTTGCAATTGGTTTTGTACATGATTTCTTCATCAACTGAATACCTTGTGAGGCCTAGCATACTTCCACTACGAAGAATCATGCACATCACTCTCTTACCGTTTTTTTTACTCTTTTTGTTTCCCATTTTTGGCTTATACTTCAGTGGTGGTGTACACATGGAAGTTGTGGATGGATGTCTTAGTTCCCAAAAAAATTTCTTCATTACCCTCTAGCAAACAATGTTAAGTGTACTTAAATGCCTTTTCAACTCTTCACTTTCTTCTTCTAAACGAAATTGATTCCCACAATCTTCTTGAGTGACTTCATACTCTTCAATGTTTAATTTATTCTTAAACACGTGAATTGATTCTAACAGAACATGCTCACCTTGTATTTGAAAACCTGCAAGTTAACATGCACACGGTAACCCATGTGTTTTTCTAATGAAGAAACCACATGCATATTTGTCAGAAAACAACAAATTTTACCCTTTCCAAGTCCTTTGCAACATGTTGTCCACTTTGTCTTGAAACGAAGCCGTGCAATCTGGAGTAAATGGAGTGTTATATCGATTTTCAATGTTGGCAATAATTTTTTTGAAAATATACTTTAATTCAACCTAGTTGCAACTTTAACATGGTGTTCACAACATCCTAACTTTTGCATAAATCTCCTCAACTAGTAGTAAAAATGTTTTAGAGTCTCCAATGAGCAGACTTAACCCTAAAAAACATAAATATAAAAAGAAGAATAATTTGATAATTAGTATTGTAATACAATCAAAGTCACAATGATATACCTGTTTGTTGTCGTGTTTCTTAAATGAGTAACTCTATTAGTCCATGCAACAACAAACTTTTCTTTATAGAATGTCAACCATGCTTCATGCACAGTCTCAACAAATAAAGAAATATCAACACATACTATCTCAAAATGTTTAACTATTCTATAAACTCAAATACCCTATTTGAATACATAACTTTGTTCCATAGATCCATAACATGCTCTTGCCTATTATATTTGACACGCTCCTTACATTTCATGCTAACATTTTTTTAAATATGGAACACAAATTGAGGACGTGCACACGACTTCCATGTCATTCATCAATGCAAGTTCTGTTAGAACAAGATTTTTCATTCCCATAAAAGGTTTAGATGATAACAAAGTATTGAAAGAACAATAGAGTTTACTAATGATTATTAGAGTGTTCATGATCATAAGACATTAACCTTGATATGAATCAAGTAAATCACTCATAAGAACCATTAAATAGATTAAAGTTGTTATGAATCTGAAAGATTAGAATCAAGGTTTTAGATTCTGAAGAAGTTTTTCTCAAGTCTTTCAAATGCTAAACCTAAGCTTAATTGGAAATACAAATATCAACACAACACTAAATACTGGAACCTTTTGAAGCAAGCAAACACTGTTATAAGGAATGACTTTGTATCTAGTGAACAAGCTGCATTAGAAATTCTATAGACACTACTTTAAGGGAATTTGTCAACATCAAGTCTACAACTCTGCAAGTGCTTATCCAAACTAGTTCTGACCAAGACTCTTATAAAGGAAAGACTCAAAACCTGTGAACTCAAGACTCTGTAGTCTCATTCAAACTAGGTTCTGAAGACATACGTTAGCTTATAATCATGCTTTAACTAATTCTATAAAAATAATCTGAACCAGAAAGAAAAGTATATGGATAACAAGACTCTAAGCAAGCTTCAAAAAACGTCTACAAGAAGGATCAAGTCAGAAGTTATCGAAGGAAGATCACGTGAAAACGATACACTACTTTAAGTGTAATATGGTGATAGTGACGTTGTTAGGATCTTTTCTCTCCAACTGTTATTCCAATCTCAACGTCTTTATGCTAGCTAAGTTTTTAGCTCACTCTATTGCTCATCAACTAAAGATCTTCAACGACTACTTGTACCATGGTAGCTTTCAATGGCTATTTGTACCATGGTAGTTTCGATCTTCAACGGATCTGTTCTTATTATCTATTTATATATGAAGATTGAAAACAGTCAAATTTTAATGACAAGAAGAAGAAATCTTCTTGGAACATCTCTCGGAGCTGAACATCTACCTCTCAAGAAGATGAATGTGAGTTGAAGATTTCATGATTGTGTTCATATTGATGTGTCACTGAAATGAGTTGAGAGAAACACACTTCAAAATATTATCTAACCGGAAGGGTTAGAGCAGAGTGAAACATGATTCACATACATTCTAAAGATAGAATATGTGAACATGTTCATTAGAACAGGAAGGCACAACACAATGAAAATTTGTGCAAGGAGAGAAGAAGAATGAAATCTTCATTATTCCACACTCAGGAGCAAATAACTCAAATCTTCTCAAGAGTGTAAAGCTTTGCGTATCTGCTTATCCAAAAAGCACTTAAATGAACACAAGGTTAATACAATATGTATCTGTTAAAAGAACCTAAATACTCTAGCTTTTGTGCCAAGTGTAAAGTCTCTTTCCATGTGAGTGAGTATTTTAAGTCTCTTGCTTGTAAGAAGAGCAAAATTCCTGAACTGGATGTTTAGCCAAGGAAGTGTATATCAGTATGATTGAGTAGGAAGTCTTATGCTTGAGGGCTTAAGCAAGATGTCTTGAATGGGTAGTTCAGACAAGGAAGTCTTGATCTGGGTGATTGAGCATGAAGTCTTAAACGGGGATTTTGGGTAAGGAAGTGTCATGCTTGCGGGCATGAGCAGAAGTATTTTTTCTATGGGATTGAGAAGAAAGTCTTGAGCTTCTGGCTTAAGCAATTGTAATCAGTCTGATTATAGTTAAAAGATCATGTGCTACAAGGGGACTGAACTACTCTCAGTTTAGAGGAACCATGATATATTGTGTGTCTCTTTATTTACTTCTGCATTTATATCCCGCTATACAAGCACACTCTAAAGCCAAACTCTGATCTGATTCAGAATCTTACTTGGATCAGAATTTGAGCTTGAAACCATATGTTCTGAAACAAGACTAAGAAAAAGAAGTAAAATTTTCACCACCGTCTTCACTCTGACATCAGACTCTGAATATGATTCATAATTTGATGGTTCATAAATAGTTAGTGAAAAAAGTTCTCATAATTTGACATAAACAATTCAACCCCCTTCCTTTCTTGTGTATTTTTCTCACCTTGAGTTGGTATCAGAGCCCAGTTGTGTCTTGTCACTTAATAATGAAACAAAAAAGACCTGGTGAGAAAAACTACGCAGTCAAGAGCTTCGGCTTGGATGGAGTAGAGATAAGATGAAGAAGGTATTGCTGGATGCTTGAACTTAAACACGTGATCTTGAAGGAACTCTAGAATAACTATAGAAGAAATGCTTTCAAATTTTTGTGGATTAAGATAATTGTTTCTAATTTAAGTCATTTATTTTGTGAGTATGAAAGGATTTTTAATTTGAAAGAAAAAATCGTGGGGGCAGGTGTACTTGTTGAAGAAATCAAGAAACCATTTCTATTGTGAGTCATTTGCTTTGTAAGTATGAAAGGATTATCTAATCCTTAAGACTGACTCAT